GGACCGTGCCTGGTACGCCTCAACACAATGGTGTAGCTGAGCGTATGAACCGAACGTTGACTGAAAGAGCCAGAAGCTTGCGTGTACAGTCAGGCTTACCAAAGCAGTTCTGGGCAGAAGCAGTTAACACAGCAGCTTACTTGATCAACCGAAGTCCATCGGTACCATTGGAGCACGGAATACCAGAAGAGGTATGGAGCAGAAAAGAGGTAAAACTCTCACATCTTAGAGTTTTCGGCTGTGTAGCATATGTCCATATCAGTGATCAAGGTAGAAACAAACTTGATCCAAAATCAAAGAAGTGCACTTTCATTGGTTATGGTGAAGATGAGTATGGCTACCGCATATGGGATGATGAAAACAAAAAGATGATCCGCAGCAGAGATGTAATCTTCAATGAAAGAGTGTTGTACAAGGACATGCATAAAACAAGTATTAGCAATTCAGAATCGAGTGGGCCCGTTTTTGCAGAAGTGGAAGATGTCCTAGAAAATCCTATAGTGAGAAGTCCTCAGTCAGAGGAATCAATTGAAGAAGGTGATGTGCAACCAGAACCTCTTACTCCAACTCCTGTATTGAGAAGGTCCTTTAGACCTCATGTGCCAAACAGGAGATACATGGACTACATGTTGCTGACTGATGGAGGGGAGCCCAAAGATTATATAGAAGTTTGTCAAACCACAGATGCTAGCAAGTGGGAGTTTGCCATGAAAGAAGAGATGAAGTCTCTGATCTCCAATCAGACATGGGAACTAGTCAAGTTACCCATGGGGAAGAAAGCACTTCACAACAAATGGGTGTATCGGGTGAAGGAAGACCATGATGGTTCCAAGAGATACAAAGCCCGACTAATTGTCAAAGGATTTTAGCAGAAAGAAGGAGTTGACTACACTGAAATATTTGCTCCAGTCGTAAAGCTCAATACTATCAGAACAGTGTTAAGTATTATGGCTAGTGAAGAGCTCTACCTAGAGCAATTAGATGTGAAGACTGCATTTCTCCACGGAGACTTAGATGAGGAGATCTACATGCACCAACCTGAAGGATTTTCAGAAGGAAAGAAGGATATGGTGTGCAAATTGAAGAAGAGCTTGTACGGTCTGAAACAAGCTCCAAGACAGTGGTACAGGAAGTTTGAAAGCTTCATGCACAAGGAAGGTTTCCAGAAGTGCAATGCCGATCACTGTTGTTTCTTCAAGAGGTATAAGTCCAGTTATATCATATTGCTACTTTATGTTGATGACATGTTAGTAGCAGGTTCAAATATGAGGGATATCAGAAATTTAAAGATGCAGTTGTCAAAGGAATTTGACATGAAGGACTTAGGACCAGCAAAGAAGATTCTTGGAATGCAAATCACGAGAGATAAGCAAAAAGGAGTTTTGCAGTTATCTCAAGAGGAGTACATCAACCGTGTTTTGCAAAGATTTAACATGGACAAGGTCAAACCAGTCAATACACCTTTGGCCAGTCATTTTCGTCTATCCAAGGATCAGTCTCCTCAAACAAAGGAAGAAGAAGAAATTATGGCTAAGGTTCCGTATGCTTCAGCCATTGGAAGTCTGATGTACGCAATGGTTTGTACAAGGCCAGACATTGGCCATGCAGTGGGAGTTGTGAGCAGGTTTATGGCAAATCCAGGAAAGGCTCACTAGGAAGCCGTCAAGTGGATTCTAAGATATCTACGAGGAACAACAAAAAAATGTCTGTGTTTTGGAAAAGGAAATCTAAGATTACAGGGCTACGTAGATGCAGACTTTGGAGGTGAAGTTGATCACCGAAGAAGCACCACCGGTTATGTTTTCACGGTTGGTACTACAGCTGTTAGTTGGATGTCGCGAATACAAAAAATTGTTGCTTTATCCACTACAGAGGCTGAGTATGTAGCAGTGACAGAAGCCAGTAAAGAATTGATATGGCTTCAAGGACTGTTAGCAGAGCTGGGATTCACTCAAGAAGGGAGTGTTTTGCATAGTGATAGTCAGAGTGCAATACATCTAGCAAAGAATTCAGCATTTCACTCCAGAACCAAGCACATTGATATTCGTTATCATTTCATCAGATCTCTACTTGAGGATGAGGTGTTAACATTGAATAAGATTGTAGGAAGCAAGAACCTAGCAGATATGCTAACGAAGGTGGTGACCATTGACAAACTGAAGTTGTGCTAAACTTCAGTTGGCTTGCAAGAGTAACAGACCAGAGAAGACTACTGTATTAATCAAGGTGTGAGGACAGATTGAAATCAGTCCTCAAGTGGGAGATTGTTGGTGTTTGAAAAGTCAAAAAAATGTGGCAAGTGGTTGGTTGGCAAGTGGTTGGATGGCAAGTGGTTGGAGACAAGAAAAATTAGAAAGCCTTAAATGCACAAGAACCATTCCTTTTGCTATAAAATGCTTTTTCACTTCACTCATTTCCATCATCCAATTCCAAAGGAACCATTACAAGAGTTAGCCAACAAGAAACAGAAAGAAATAATCTAGCTTCTGGGTGTAATTGGGTTGAGGGTTGAGTGTTTTGAGAGTGCTTTGTAAACACCTGTGTATTTTCTTTTCTCCCAGTAAAATATCTGCAGTAGTCCGGAGACATAGGCAATTTTGGCCGAACTCCATTATCAATTGGTGTGTCCAATTATTCCGTATTTATTTCGTTTTTATTTCACTTTCATAGATCTGACTACATGGAAAAGTTCTGTGTATTTTTTCTAACAATGTTATGATTATTGTCGTTTCCGTTGTCAATAAAGAGAAACACATTAACATAATTAGTGAAAATAGAAGAATTAGACCTAATAGTAGTAGAAGTCATGGACCCTATATGAAAGGGGGGAAAACAGGAAAAGAAAGCAAGGTCTAACCAAGGGATGATAAAAAAAACAAGCTCTAGACACAAATCATGACCAAACTAAAGAAGAGGATGGTGAGACGAACCTAATGCTGACAAGAATGGCTAAAAACATGGTTAGATGCAGTGACAGATCTTCTTTAGAACTGAGGGATTTAGCCTTACCAAAGTTTTGTAACTCCTATGTAATTTATGATTTTTGGTCTCCCAAACTTTAATATATTTACTTCTATATTTACAATTTTATCCTCTCAGTCTCTCCTCAGCATTATAATTCTCATATAATTTATGATTTTGCCTCCCCCAAACTTAATGATTATTTTATATATTTACTTATACATTTACAATTTTATCTTCTCATCTTTTTATCTTCTTTCATCTTTTTTACAATTTTATCTTCTCATCTTTTTATCTTCTTTCATCTTTTTATATTTATTTATTATTTTTTAATAATATATTATTTTACTCCTCGTAATCAATGGTGAATATCCGTCGTTGGTGATACGTGCAATAAATAACTATGGTAAGAGAAAGAACATATACAATAATGTCAAAGTTCTGATGATCACAAATCTGACAATATTAGAGTAGTCTAGTAAACACAACTTTAATGATATTGTTGTCCGTTTGAACAATGATAAGATTAGGTAGCAATAAGGGTTGTGAAAGGTCAAAAATAGCAAAAATAAAGTGTCAACAAAAGCGAAAAGGTAGAAATAAAAATGAGACATGATTTCTAAAAACAATTGATTTCAATGGACAATAAATCTATCATGAAGTAAAAATACAAATTAGACTTTAAATCATGTTAAAAAAAATTAAAGACATGTAATAAAATCGGTGTACTATATATAGGAAACATAAAATCAATATAACTTATATTAATTTTTTTTAACTGTTTGGTATTCTACGAAATAGACATTCATGATTAGTGTTAGTTTATTTTTAAAACTAACTCCTCAATAAGAAAAAATGAAAAATCAAATTTAAGTTCGGACTAGGTTAATAATATATTTTAGATCTTTTAATTGAATGTGTCAATTAAAATTAGTGATATGAATAACAGCTTAAACTTTTTCTTTTTTATGACGGATCTTCGAAGACTCATGCATAGGGAAAGGTAGTATAAAACTTTGAGTACACCATCAAGACGTTTTTGTAAAAAAAGAAAAAAAGAGTATATCTAATATATTTACGAAAAATAAGGAAAGAATAGGGAATAAATAACATAAAACAGCCAATTTTTATATTATTTTAATCTTACGTTTTTTTTTTTTTTACCTACTCTCTATTTTTCACGTATTTCTTTCTTCTATCGTAAATAATAATGAAGTTACGAAATGAATTTAAAACCTACCAACACAAATTCCACCTAAATTATATATCCTTGTCTCTTCTCACTACATAGTACATGATGATGGACGAAGATGATCAATGTCTATATTTTGTTGACTCCTCACTGGACTACCTTTTTATTGTGTGAACCCAGTGACTGAAGTACCCTTTGTGACACGACAAGATGAATTTATTTCACATTAAATTAACCAATAGTGTATTTTTATTATCTGGATCAGTATTCTCACTTCTTCATACTAGTATTCTCATATTTGAAAACTCTGAACCCAAAATTTTTAATTACTATTCTTATCTCTACTAGTCTTCTTAAGTATTTTTACAAGTATTTTCATATTTCACTTCAATCTTTGCTGCAAACTGACAAATGACTCTAACAATTTTTATAAAATTACGTAGACAGAAAGATCAACTACAAAACAAATACACAAGTTCAAAGATTAAAAAAATCATTAAAAATTGTCAAATAATTTATTGACTAACAAAAAAATAGACGAAATAGAGTCCAGAGGAGAGTAGGTCCACAAAAAGCAACAATAGATAAACTAGTTCACCATTATTTTTTAAAAACGAACTTAAGACATAAATTTGCTAGCTGTCAAATAAAGAAGAGCAATAGAAGTAATTCCTACTACATCTGAAAGTTTTATCCCAAAAAGAGTGAAGAAAACAAACTCTTATTCAATCATGGGCCATTAATCTGTGCTGTGTAAAAAAATGGGAAACACGGACATAACATGAGCATGTCAAACTGTCATGGCATAAGATATTCGAGCCAAGAAACATTAGCAAGCAAAGTCGATTCATGGCTCAGGTTGCATTTTCTCACATTCTTCCCGAATTGACTGGAATAGAACAGTAGACAAATATCTTTCACCAAAGCTTGGGAAGACAACCTTCAAGCAATAAATTTCAAAATTATACGAAGCTTTAAATGCGAAAAAGATAAAGTAGGCAGAAAACAACGAATGATAAACATTTAAACAAACAGAAAAAGAAAATTGCGGATGTAAGTGATCCTTTTTCTGGCTACATACCAAAAACCCAACCGTCCCCCAATAGGAGAAAAAACGTTTACTTTAAATTATATAATTCAGGGTAGTTGTGGCAACCAGAAAAGAAAGGAAAGAGAGAAGAAGCTTAGCCCACAATAATAGCGGTGAAAAGCACAAGATAAACAATGCAAAGCATTTTCAGCTATTTAAGCCTGAATACTAGGTGGATTCACACTGAGCACTACAGAAAAGTCCAGCTAAGTTTTTACTCCATCCTTGCAGTTTCTTAACACACAAACCCACCAATCAGAAGGATAAGCAAATAAGACAAGTTAAGCAGGCATAAACTAAATGGGTGCAAATTAACAGTGTCCTACAATGCAAGCAACATGATACTTAAGTAACATCATATACTGGTGAACAGGACATAATCTGCAAACTTGTCTTTAAAAACCAAAATCTATGACCTTGCCTTGAAGGTTAGGTTTGTTAAGAAAAAACCAAAATATGATCAGATTGGTAAATTGAGAACTCCGTCAGCATGATGTTTATGTAAGTTCAGTAAAGATCTATCTCATTCCAGACGGATTAAATCCCTTGTATAATTACTATGCATAGATTTTTTATATTTTTTGTAGGAAATATGCATACCCCAATAAGCTTTCCTGCATTCTCAGGCCTCTTTCCAACCTTCAATGCAGCTGCAGCAGCAGCTCCTGAAGAAATTCCCACCTGTTCTCCAATCGAAGTTAGCATTTAAGAGGCAATGTAAAAAGTCAACAGATAGAGCTTTATATTGATATCAGAATTGAGGTGTCAAGATTTGAAGAAAATTAACTCCAGACATGCAGGCTATATAAGTCACATAAGTTCTTACGTCCTTTATAAGAATAGGGTGTGGTAAAGACATTCTTGAACATAACTACGGTTTAATATGGTGAAAAATATAAAGGACTAACCAGCAAGCCTTCCTGGAGTGCTAATTGCTTTGCAGTTTCAACTGCTTCATCACTTGATATCTGCCAAATTTACAAAGGAGGAGATTAATTATGATACACACCAAGAAAATAATGACATTCAGTATTTATCCAGGTCCAGTGGTTCCCATGTCACATGCATAAAAATCCGATCAATTGAACACAGCTCTAAATGTGGAAATGCTGGTCCTCAATTAATAAAGAGAATAATTACGCCAATTAACAAGAAGCTAGGGCATAAAGAAATGTTCATTACTGACCAGTACACTAAGTAAATGCATATAGAGAGATAAAGCAAGTATAAAAACCAAATGTCCATGAAAGATAATCTCTATTCTCTACTATGTTTCATGGTAAACCAATCTTGCCTTATTCATTGGTGTTCACGACGAAAGATAATCTCTATTTTCTAATTTGTGCAACGTATAGCAGTATAACGTGTTCACAGGTGTGAAAGCCAAATGTGAATAACATCAAAGCATGTCATGAAACAGTCGACAAATCAGATCATTAAGATTCAGTTATAGATGACAATTACATGTGAATAATTCAATCTAGTACTAAATGTATGCATGTGAGAAAATCATAAGGAAACATAAGATGCCAACAATCTACCAAAACATTATTTCCCATTATGACAAGAAGAACAAAAATTCATCTATAAAAATCCGTTAGTCCTTTTTAACAAAGAACGACCTAGTTCTGTGCAAGGGTAAGTAGAATCTGAAACTTTGGGGAAATAGGCATGTCAAAATTCTAAACATTTCATTACAGTTATTTGACCCCGATTATCACCTCTGACTATCATTCCATGATAAGCAAAGACAAACATAGGAAAAAAAAAACAAAGTTATGACTGTTAGTAGCTACTAGCACTTGATGGGGGCATTGTGTTGAGATAGCTATGTCATTTTCATCCAAGATTAACATAAAAAAGGTAAATAGTAAGGGTATGACAATGGGATCGACATAAGTAGTAGTTATATGATACCCATCCCATCTAAAAAATCCTACCCGTTCATAATTCACTGAATACATTTTAAAAATTAATCATGGATAATTTTATATTTGCAGATATCTATATGGATACTTCTCAATTTTATTGTAAATTTTAAATAAAAATATTTAAAAACTATACCTGAAAATATAAACTCAAATAAAAAATTTATCTTAAATATAATCCAAATAAAAGTTCATGTTACATATTAGCACAAATAAAATTAGTCTTTCTAAAAACAAATTCAAGTAAGTTGTACTGCAAAGTACAAGTTTAAATAAATGAAAATATCTATGAAAGCAACTTTAATTCCATAAATCTAAATAAAAGACATAAATCTATAAAATCAAACTCTAAACAGATCTATAATTATCAACGTTTTCCTCACCAACAACTTTACTTTGGTCAATTCTAAAAAATATCTAAATAAACTCACTAAATATTAAAAAATAAGATTTTAGAAGTTGATGTTGAATGTAAATTATATATATAGGGAGAGAGAGAGAGAGAGAGAGAGAGAGAGAGAGAGAGAGAGAGAGGTAGATAGATAGATAGATAGATAGATAGATAGATAGATAGATAGATAGATAGATAGATAGATAGGTAGACACACATTTAGATATTTGAATATTAACGGGAGCAGGTAAAAGGATACCTGAACCCGTTGCCCTTGGGTATTAGCTAAAGGTATCTGTTTTGTATTCATTGCAGCTTTCACCCGCCAAACACATGTAGCTACGGATTTTTTTTTGTCATCCCTAAATAAGAGGAAGAATATCTCCTCTCATTTAGTTTGTTCGCAAATGGTTGGTAGACAAGAAGTATTTGTTGTGATATTAATACATTCATGTTGGTCACAAGAAACACATCCAACCGAATCTAGCACAATGATTCAAATTTCAAAATCCGACAAGTTCTGCTTTTGGAAATAATTAGTAGCACATTCTAAAACAATCAGTTTAGGAAACAACAAAACACATTAGATTATAACATAAGTAGAAGAAGACAATAGGAAAGCATAAGAACAGACCGCTATAACTTCATCAAGCACATCTTGATCCAAATTCCTGGGCACAAAACCAGCTCCGATACCCTGAATTTTGTGAGGTCCTGTAGTTCAGAAGAAAATAGATAAGATTCAACTTCTTAAAAAGAAATCAATCAACATAATGGATTTGGAATATTTAGAAACTTTTTCTGTTTATGTACCTGGCTTTCCACCTGTAAGGATGTTGCTTTCCAGGGGCTCTACACCAATAACCTGATACATAATGAAAAAAAGCTTAAAGGAACCCAACAATGTCGAAAGCTTTCCTAAAAGAAATACACTTCCGATGATAAGACATGAACATTAAATGAAGTACATAGATTGATTTACATTTACACCAAGTATTTTATGTATGGACCATATCTTTCCTACATTATATTGATTGATAATACTAGATAAATTTGGACTTGGCAATGCCCTTGAGAAAGATGTACCTGTATTTTCGGGTTTTGTTGTTTTAAGTATTGGCCAGCTCCAGAAACAGTTCCACCAGTTCCAATTCCTGCAACTAAAATATCTATCTTTCCTCTGGTATCTTCCCATATCTCTGGGCCAGTTGTCTCAAAATGAATCTGTATGGTTGAATCCAACTTTGTAATCAGAACATATGACAACACATCATGATATATCTATTTAGGACATTTTGATCAAGTTGATTATAACTAAACGCATAAAGGATAAACAATATTGGCTAACAATTTCAACATTTGGCCAACTCCGTTTCTTTTCTATAGCAATTTTAGAAAATAGTGCCTAAAGAGCCAGATTTAAAAAAAAAAAAAAAAAAAGTAACCAGCTGCATGACTTTTCTTTTCTTTTCTAGGGAACCCTGTAACTAACTTTAACCTTGTATGTTCCAGGCACCATGATAAAGTGCTGCTGAAAGCCCAGAACAGAAGAATGAATTAAGGATGAGAAAGAACACAGAAAAAGACAAAGTAGTGCCTTTGCATATTACGGAAGAACTCCTCTAAAAGACCACGGGCAGAAAAGACAGGGAAAAGCTAAGAATAAAAAAAAAACTCTTCTCATCTTTATCACAACTAAATACCATCAATCAATAGTAAAAATATTGTTGACAGAGTCCTAGTTTGTTAAGCCAAGTGAAAAAGTGTTTAAAACTAAATTAAGATTTTTCCAATATAAGTGCATGTGAAAGTATTTTGAAACAGTTTATGGCGAGTACCATTACCAAGGTCATCATCCCCTGGGAGAAAGTATGGTGAGTACCATTGGTATGTATGGGGATAATTGGTTATGCTCTCATAGGCAGGCCTATGAGCATTTTCTTTTAGTTAAGTTCATGGGCATAATAAGAAAATGAAGGATTGAGGTGAAAGTGTGGTGCAAGGCTATGGGCTGTATGTCTTGCTATTTGGTGCCTGTAGCTGGAACAAAATCCATTTATCCTCAAGGGAACAATTGCTTTTTTGCATTTCCATTAACCTGGACTTCGTGGCCATGTTTTAAGCAAGCTTCCAACAAAAGATAAGTAAAAGAAGTATCAATTACCAAATCTGAGCAAACTTGTACAACATACAGGTTTGACCTGGAGGCTGAGCTAATGGTGCACCCTGCATGGGTCCCTTTTACAGGAACACAGGATTCATGCACTTAAACATAGAATAGAATAAGCTGCTATAGTTACCTTAGGATTTGAAGGATTATCAAATTGTTGAAGCATGTATGCATTGGGGGTATTTTTTAAAATTTCTTCAGCCTTTTGAACTGCACCATTCATGCCCTTTGCTGCTTCAGTCAAAACAAGCTCAGCCCCAAATGCTTTCAAAAGTACTCGTCTTTCTAAACTCATTGAAGCGGGCATTGTCAAAATGAGTTTATATCCTCTTGAAGCTGCTATAAAGGCAAGGCCAATTCCTGTGTTCCCACTAGTAGGTTCCACCAATATACTCTGAAATGCACATGAGAAGCAAATGAACTCAGAAAGCAAAAAAAGATGAAGCAACATTAAAATTATTTAGCCTCAGATAATCTGAAAATAAATTAAATCAAAAAATAAATTATCTAGCTCCTTTGAAGACCACAGTATGCAGCATAAAAGTAAAGGAAACAATACTGCTTCATTGCACCCGGAAGCAAAAAGTTTGATTTAACAAAAATTCCAGACCATGTTGCAGTTTCTAGAATTGTCAAAGCCAGTAAATATCCCAGCAAAGTTGTGTAAAATTTCATTTTGATAATAGAAAAAAGTTTATAACGAACACACTAACCTTATTAGGGCATATGAAGTCTCAAAACATTAAAAAATTGCTCATATGTAGTCACATTAAAAAAGCATAACATACTCCAAAGCATGCTAGAATAATTTCTTGTCAAAGGATCATTTTGAACAAACATCTCAATAAGGACTTCTAGAAGAAAAATATAAGAAAAAAATAAGAAAAAGAAATGAAATGAACTTCTTCGTAAGTTAAAATCAACTTATGAACATGTAAACACACACAAATTTAGAGAAACAATATTAGAAATCTTCTACAAATTAGCTTAAGCATAAGCTCATTTTAACTTATGGTGAAGATCAATTCAATTTTTTCTTCTTATTTTTCTCTCCTATAATCCTTATTGAGATGTTCGTCCAACCAGGTCAATAAGGCATAGGTAATATTGATGATTCTATTTCATCTTTGAGTGAAAATTATTGTAGAGAGATACAACTTTTTGGTTTGAATATGCACAAGTGATTAACAAGGTGCATGATTAGTTTTATTTATAGTCAAGCAAAGAGTTGTAGCACTGCTGTGCAGCACAAGATTATAGACATATTGACCTAATACACCGTATACATCAACTATGTATAGATGCTATTTCTAAAGTTTATACAACCAAAAATTTATTTTTTGCTTTGATTAATGTCTGCTAAGGCATCACATGTGTGGCTGTATAACAATACTGCTAAAATCAATCATAAAACAATGTGATATTCAAATAGCAAATGCCAAACTTGGGAAGAATAAGTTGTTAGGGTGGTCTGCATTAGCCATGGCTGACAACCAGCAAGAGTTATAGTGAAATCAAATATTACACTAAGTCACATACTATGACATCCACAATTGCTTTCTATTATTTATACCTTTCCAGGTGTTATAGCTCCTCTCTGCTCAGCATCATTTATCATGCTAAAACCAATCCTGCAAGATGAAAAATTGGAAGCATTAAAGAAAATAATAATAATAATAATAAAGAATAAACCTCCAATATGCAAATTTATGTAACCAAATAACTTATGCAGGCTCATAGAAACACCATATATGAATTTTAATTTGTACCTAATGATAACTGAAATTATCACCAAATAATAGGTACATAGCCAAGTGTTTTTACTAGTGCTATATAAAGAGTTAGATGTACATCCATATTAATATACAATACTTACTAAAAAGCTATCCTTATCAACCAATAACAACAAAATAATAAAAAATAGCAAAGAAATCAATAACAAAATCAAACCAGGTCACGAAACATTATGGACTTTTTTGGTTTAAGAAACATTTTGTATTTTTATTTTCATTTTCAACAACACACTCTTTATTATTGGTTCATCTTCCAAATAGTTAATAAACATTTTAAAGAGTATGCTTAAAAAATTATCTTATTAACACTCCCCATTCACAAAAATTCTAAATCATGTTTGCTTTATTTCACGCTGTTAAGAGATATGCACAATGTCATTTTCACTGAAACTACAGGACACCATCAGAGATCTCACAAGTTTAGCAAGCAACTAATCAAATACAAGTTCTCACCGGTCTTTGACACTACAACACGGCTCCATAATCTCTAGCTTTGCAGCAATATTGGCCACAGAACCCTTCACGATATTGTTCAGGTAAACCATTGGCGTTTTCCCTATGAGCTGTGCCACGTCAGTAGCAAAATAACCAAACGAATTAAGTTTCATCCTTGAAGCTGATTTTTCACACATAAACCAAATGATAAAAGTTCCATAATAAAATAGAAGTTTCTCCTCAGTAACCTATATTTATATTTATACGAAACTTGTATCTCATAGACCATGTGTATGTTTGGAAAAGCTTTCATAAACACTTATAAGAGGAAAGAGAAAATGAAAACATTTTCTCGATAACATAAAATTTGTTTCGTAAATGTTATTCCCAATTAGCTTCTTCAAAATCTGTTTTTAATGCCAGGTACAAGTACAAGTTAGATTAGCTTTTGGAAAAAGCTAATTGCATTTTTTCTTTTTATTTTTCTCTTTAATGCCCAGGGATGGGTTTCCTCCAAACAGACCCAACGAGACGGGCTATTCTAATTAAGAACAATGGTAAAAGCATCTAAAGAATTCATCTAAGCTATTATATCCCAAAAGAAATGACAAAAAGTGAAAATTTTTCCAGCAAAACATTCAGAGGCTTGAAAACTCATTGAAACTGACCTGGGTAACATCTTCAGCGATGTTGAGACCCTCAATTTCTGTTTGGGGCTTAACGGAGACAGCTTTGCAGACAACGGGGGAAGGCGACGAGATCCTGGTGGCGAGTGGTCTGGAACAGTGGCTGTTCCCGGGCCTGAGTGACGTGGCGTTGGAGACGTTGGCGAAAGAGTGGAGAACTGGAGCACGCGAAGAACAGGTGAACGAGTTGACGAAGGAAGCAGAAGCCATTGTTGTTGGTTGGGGAAACCTCACAGCGCAAATAAGGTTAGGAACAGGAGAACGACGACGTTTGTTGCCGGAACTCACTTCAGCGTATCCTTTTTGGAGTTGCTTCCACGATTGTGGGTGGATTGGAAAATGGGTCGCAATTGAAGTGTCTGTTGGCAGGGCTAAAAGCCAAAATATAATTTGGCAATAAATAAATTACACAAATCAACATTATATCACCATAGTTCTTCACTGTCACAATTTTACTAATACTTTTGTATATAAAATATTTGAAGAACAAAATTTATTTTATTATATCACCATAGTTCTTCACTTTGCTTTTGCATCATTTAATATATATATATATATATATATATATATATATATATATATATATATATATATGGTAGTTTGTGAGCTTCTAACCTTTAGTAACTTTACTATAAAGAATTAAAAAGAAAATAAAAAAAAGGTGATCAAACCATGCATGCAATATTACGTATTATTAAAATTCAGTTAGCATTTTAGTCTGCTATAAACTTCAAACCTCTATGACGAAGTGTTTTTAGGGCAAATAAATGTAACTGTAACTTATTTTAAACATATTAAATAAAAAAATTATCCATTCACATTTGCATGTAATTATTTATTGGAAAATTGTTAATACATTTTTTAAGTGTTTTTTATATTATTTTCTTATTGTTGATTTCTTTGTACAATTAACATAATTTTTTTATGCGAGTGAGTCATAATTTCAAATTTCAGTAAAAAAAAAATCTGAGTAATTATACTTAATTTTATCATTACTAATATTACATATTTATCTTTCTTGAAAAAACAATTAAATAGCATATAATAATGAGATTCCAATTATTTATACTAAAAACAAATGGAGAAGAAAAAGTAAAAGAAAGCACCCCAAAAAATCAAATGAATGAAAGTGGCATGTAAGGGGGACCGTGAAGAAATTGAGTTCGAAAATTGTATGTGAAAGGAAAACAATGGTTTTTTTTTTTCCACAACTATAAGACAAAATATTTTCCTTTTTTCCATAACTAAAAAGACAAAATCTTTTATAGTACAAGAAAGCGAAACAAGATATTTTTGTTGCTTAATTAATAATACTAGTTTAGAAATGCCATAACTAATGTTGATTTGATTTACTGAATTATGATCAAAGAACAAAATATTATTAGTCTATTGTTTTACCACATTTATTTAGAATTAACTAGTAAAAAGTACTAGTCTTATTTATGATATTATAATCCTCTTTAACATGACAAGTATTTTTATTTATTTATTTAGTAATAATTGAATATCATGGTGTAAATTAATTTGTAGTTTTCATACATTCTTAATTCATCTCAAAAAATATTTCATAGGATCTTTAAATCCATGATTTTCACACAATAATATACATGAATCATAATAAGGAAATTAACTTTGATCCATGAGAAAGATCCAATGAGGATGTGTTGTTCAATCTCTTTGTTCTCCATTCTCATTTTTTCGATCTATTTCTATGTCTTTCTTTCTCCTCTCACACTTTCGTGATGGTTTACTGTGAAAAGAACCTTATGACTAGAAACAAAACCTTAATCCTCGTTTTTAACTAACGTATATCAAGTTCGTTACTAAAAGTTTTTATTTTATTTTATCTTTATTTTATCATGATTTTCCATAATTACCAATAGAACCTTATATTTTATTAAGTCACATTTGGATCCATCATTATATTTAACATGAGTCACATAATAGAATTAATTTATTAATTAATTCTAACATTCTCCCACTTAATACTTAAGTTATAATATGCATTAAAGGATCTTACATAAATTGGTTATATCATTATTCATAATTAAATATACAACAACAAGAGTCATTATCATAATTAAATGACATCCTCCATTCCATTCCATGTACTATTGATTATCTCTTTCTCTTTAATATGACTTTACAATAACTCACTTGAATTCTCAACAGAGAAGTCCATAATGAGTTCAAACATAATTTGTTTTCTTCATCACAATTTGAGTGCATATAAATAAAGAAGAAAACATAAATTTTAGAAATTTATACATTAAAGATTTTAGAGTGTCATATAAGCATTAATAATAACATTAACATTCAACATTCACTAGTAAACATAATGTTTATATGGCCAACAAACAATTTGGGTGTTAACCCTTTTGTTAAAGGGTCAACAATCATAAGATCAGTATTAATATGTTCTATTAACACTATGTTTCTGAATTTTTTTCTTTAACGACTAAATATTTCAATTACATATGCTTAGCACCTTTGGAATACTTGTTGTTCTTAGAAAAAAAAAACTGTTGCAAAATTATCAAAATAAATTTTCAGCAGTTTGACAATGTTGTTGACTACTCTAAGTTCTAAAATAAAATTCCGCAACGAATTAGCTTGAAATGTGACCCCAAAGCATGCCACAAATTAAGTTTTTATAGTGGATGCTACAATGATAGACTGCTTCACATTTTTTCATGAAATCGTTCATCCGGCTAAAAGATACACATAACCAAATGTAAACTTTTGTGTATCCATATAGCGAAAAATCTGAATCTATATATCTCATCACCTCAAGGTAATCAAATTTCCTATAAGCAAACATGTGATTCTTTGTTCCTTGTAAGTATTTTAAGACTTTCTTTGCAACTTTTCAATGATCCAATCCAGGATTATTCTGGTATCTACCCAACATACCAACTACAAAGTTAATACCTGGTCTTGTACATGTTTAAGCATACACTAAGCTCCCAACAACAGATGTATAAGGAATATTTTCCATCTATTTCTGTTCCAAGTCATTTTTTGGACATTGCATGAAATTAAATTTGTCTCTTTTTTGTATTGGAACTGGAGATGTTAAACATTTATTCATCCTGAATCTCTCTAAAACTTTATTAATATTAATATATGCTTTATGAGACAAACCAAAAAAGTCCTGGTGATCTATCACAAAATATTTCTATTATTATCACATAGCATGTCTCACTCATATCTTTCATTTTAAAGTTGTTAGAGAGAACATTCTTAGTTTCACTTAATAGACCAAGATCATTAATCGCAAGCAAAATATCATCACCATATAGAATCAAAAATATAATTTTGCTCCCACTAACCTTCAAATATATACATCGATCATCAGTGTTTTCTTTAAATCCAAAGGACATAATAGTATCATTAAACTTAAGATACCATTGTCGAGAAGTTTGTTTAAGTCCATATATTGATGTCTTAAGTTTACACACCATGTGTTCCCTTCCTTCTTCATTGAACCCCACTGGTTGGTCCATATAAACATCCTCTTCTAAATCCCCATTCAGAAATGTAGTTTTAACATTCATTTGATGCAACTCAACATCATAATGAGCTATTAATGTCATGATAATTCTAAAAGAATCTTTCTTAGAAATAGGTGAAAATGTTTCCTTATAATCAATGTCATCTTTCTGAGCAAAACCTTAAGCAACAAGTTGAGCCTTGTAACGTTTGATATTGTCGTGAGAGTCACACTTAGTCTTAAAGACCCATTTACACCCAACACTCTTGCATCATTTTAGCAATTCCCCAAAATTTCATATGCAATTGATTTAAGTTCATCTTTCATAGCATTTAACGACTTATCAAAATTATCACTATTAATGACTTCTGAAAATGAAATTGGGTCATTATGAATACTTAAGTCATTTTCTAACTTTTGTAGATAAACTACATAATCATTTGAAATAACAGACTTTCTTTCTCTGTGAGATCTTCTTAATACTAGTTCTTGTGGTTGTTTTACTATCGACTTATTGTTAATCTCGAGATCATTAATTTGTTATTTTCTTGATTGTGGTGTGATTCTACAACATGTGGAATAACAAATCTTGAAGAAGAAGTACTAGTTGTGGCATTTTTTTACAAGGGTAGTAGGTAAAATAAAGATATTTTATATATAAAGGTAATTTACATTACTACATTTTTTTTACAGGATATATAAAAGAAGAAGGAATTTTATTTATTTTTTATTCCTTCTCTTCTTACTACAATTATACAAATATTTACATTGCTGGTAGAAACAAACTAATTAAGGGGTTTTGCTGAATGGTAGGAGACATGCAGAAGGTGGCCACTATTGGTCCATCTAACATGATGGAAGTTTCCATATCAGATACAAATGTCAATAATGTTTGTGTTCCAAGTAGTTCCTAGAAAGAAGGCAGTGATACTTGCAGAAAATGGATTTGGGATATTTGGCGCCTCCATTTACTTAAGATAATATTTAAATATAACATGTACAAAAGATCACAATAGGGTGTGAGGAAAATATCATTTAAAATAATACAATCTTATAGTATATATATAAAATATGTTTTTCAACTTCCTTAACATATTCTATATTATGAAGATTTAAATTAAATTTGTAGTGACTGTTGAACATTCAAGGACTTGATGTTGCACTTGATGGGCATGAAGATTGTTGATTTTGATGATGATTCAAGAACTCAAAGACTTAGAGTGTTGAAGACTTGTTTTGTATTGTAATAACTCTGTTTCAATTAGATTGAGTCTGTAATATTAGTGTTTAAGATAGCCGGTACATAGTCTGCACCTTAGAAGCTTCAAAAAGCTCAAATTTATCATCCAAGCTCGGCTTTAATCGATTAAATAGGGAAATAATCGATTAAAACAGTGAGAAAAACCATTTTACGTATCTGCTCACTTGGTTTAATCGATTAAAACTCCTGTTAATCGATTAACGAGCGATTTAATCGATTAAAAGCCCTTTTAATCGATTAAAACAGAGAGTTTCAGGGTTCTGTTGACTTTGGCTCTGTAATAATCAATTAACTCTTGATTTAATCGATTATTTCAGTCAGATTTCGAATTTTAACTTCAAATCAACCCTATTTTCGAAAACCCTATTTCCAAGAACCCTAATTCCAAAATTCCCAATTCCCAAACCCTTATTTCTCTACTTAAGCTTCTCCATGGCACTCAGAAAATTAGAACAA